ATGAGGTGAATTGATTCAGTGACTGGGATAATTGGGATGGGAGTGTCAGAGACAGTGTGATTGGCACAGGACAGAGCGGAGTTTAGGGCTGTTATACATAGGGTCGCTATGAGTCGCAGGCGACTCGACGGTACATAACAACAACAACCACAACATGAACAAAAGACTTACTAACCTGAGACAGAACAACTAGATAGGCCCAGACCTCACTATTCTGAGGCCACAATACAAGGTTCTGGGCCAAGTGGGGGAAAGTGTAGAACAAGTTCAAAATCATAACCAAGACCAGACAGTCAGGCCTGCTAGAGACCATGGCCCTTGGACCCCCTTCATGCTTGGAGCAAGGCCGCTGCCAGAGACCCCCTTTCAGTTGAACTATAAGAAAGGCTTGTAAAGTAACACTGTGAGGAATGTGCTCCTCAAAACGGTCAACTGTAGGAGACCCAAAGGCAGGATTTGTCCAAAAACAGCTTAGAAGGCAAGAAGAAGAAAAGATGAACAAATGCCAATAGGAGGTCAAGGAAGTGCTAAGAATGCTAATAAATATAATAGTTCTCTGCTGTTGTTGTTGGGTCTCATTAAGTCAGAACTGACCGGTAGCTGACCCTCCAGTGGGTTTTCAGTGGCAGTTAATCACACAGGGGGAGACTGTCCATCATTCTCTTGTGGAGCTGCTGGTGGATTTGAACATGAGGTTTATGCCTTCGGGATTGCAGCACAGCTTCTGACCAGAACTCCCCTATCTGTATATTAAGCACTGGGAATGTGTTTACTTCTGCTTGAAGAGGGTAAGGATGTCAAAGAAAGCTTCACAGAGAAAGGGGCAAATCCTTTCATTGTTTTAAAGGGTAAGCTCAAAACCCACACTCCGTGCTGTCAGGTTAGAACAGACTCTGAGCTGACCTGCTAGGGGGCTTTCCGAGGCATCTTCCTGCGGAAGAGCAGCTGGTGGATTTGAACGCCAGAGAGGCATGGCCTTGGGGTTAGCAGCACAACTTCTTACAGAATACAGCACAGTTTGTTTTAAGAAGACAAATTGTGTTTGGTAGGCCAAGAACGGAAAGAGGTAATTAGGAGGTCTGAATAAAGCTCTGAAGCCAGCAGTTTCTCATATGCTGCGCAAACTCATGAGCAGTCCGGTGTAGCAGGCACCAACCAGTTTGGTCTTTGCTCCTGGTGCCAGAAAGTTTCCCAAGTAAGGGATGGAAGTATGTATTTATCCACGAGGACTCCAGACCACAGCGCCTAAGAGGAGATTGAGGCTAGCTGGAGTCTGGGCATGGCAGAAAGACCCATTGTGTTCTCAGTCTGACCTGAATGGGCTTGGAAGAGAACTGAGATAAAGTTCAACTGTGTGGGAAATGATATCATAAAATCCAAATAAAAACTCTGGACAGTT